ATCATTGAATTTTACTTACACAAAATCAATAACAATGCATATTGTAAATCTATATTCTCTATATAATACTACTTTTATCTTGTTCTTCAAATGTATCATAATTATTTTTCTCATTTTTACTTCAAAGTCTTTAAATTTTGCCATTTATCTTTTGATTCCAAATAATCTGTAAATGTAAAAAAAAAACTTAACAATTACAGAATTGTATTTGTATTCAATAATCTGTCAAACTTGCATTTGATTATCTAAAAGTTTTTTGTAAATTTTTAATTGCATTATTCTCAATGTATTAATATATATCATTATAATTTTCTAAGGATACTTTTTGTTATTCAAACTAATCAAAACTTATTTCATCATTCTGAAAAAAAAAAATGAAAGTGGTGGGAAAGAAATTTCGTACTCTTGTTCTGAAATTACGAGTTTTATGTTTTCTCTTAGTTAAAGTTAACTAACTTCAAAGGTAAGATGCATTTTTGTATGTTGTAATATAGTCAAAATTTGGGACTTAATCATATCATGATTTTTGTGATTACAAAAAAATTTTGCTAAATTTATAGTGCGGTTGAGCATTTTAGCATTTTAAAAAGAAATTTTGATCGGCACATGAATTGATATTAATATTCTTTATTGGTATATTTCAATTGGATATAAAGACTATTTCTTTTATATGTATTATTAGGACAAGCCTTAGCATTCCTTATACTTTATTCCATTAAATTATAAGAAGATTGTAAGTATTGTGAAAGAATTCATGAGTTATAATTACGCATGATACGATTCGCGGCCAGAAAACTAAAATAAAGCAAGCATAAATGATATAGAATAGGCTGAATTGACAAAAAAAAAAAAAAAAAATTTTTTTTTTAATGTTCTTACTTACATAGCACCATGAGCTAAACCAAAGCTTTGAATATTTTTTAATTGATTTGTTGTTAGTTCTACATTTTCTTCCAAGTTTTTCATATTTCGTTGTAATCTAGACAATTGATTATTTAATGAATTATAAAGACGTCGTTTCGCTAAAGTATGATGATTATGATCAATGCTAGTTTGATTTAATTGTGCTGGTTGTAAAGGAACTTGTAATTTTGACTGGGGCCTTTTAAATGTGTTGAGGGTAGTATCCATGGGTTTTGGGTTTTGAAGGTTTTGACGTGAAAAGACGCGAAAGAAAAAAGATTTTGGTTTATCATGGGATTCAGAACATACATGATTGGCTGGACATGGTGGAACGTACAACGTCCATATAAGGCGTATTAATCCACATTGAACATGAATCCCATTATTATCAAATTAATTTAAAATTTGTTTTTTTATTATTATATTAAAATTTCTTGTATAAAGAGTATTGAAATTATATAAACGTTTCTGAATTTTTTTGATTATTGAAGTTTCGTTTTCAAACTCTTTTGATCAAATTACATACGTTGAGTCCGAACTCTCTTTATTATAATGAGATGTTTGGAATTTTGTTTTGTTACATGATTTAATTAGTAAGGTGCAATCGAATGTAAAAATAAAAAAATTTTTTCATAAATATATTCTTGATTAGTCACTATAACTAATTAATATATGAGCTTTAAATTCTTCGGTTGTTCCGAAGACATTACTTTATCACGATAATCAAATTCTAATAAAAGAGTTTGAATGGAATATAAACCAATCGTAGATATAATAATAAAAAATAGCAATAGTTTTATAGGTTCAAATCCCTAACTTATAAATTAATAAACCCGATTAAATAATTTGAGTTAGAAACGAATAGATGACTAAGTTGACAACATAAATATTACATACCAATGAATAAAATTTCCGAAAAAAAAAAAGCTTTTTCTCATGTTCAAATACTTAAATACTTAGCAATAGACGACGAGGGTCTTCAATCTGTTCCTTAATGGTTTTCAAAAAGGTAACAGCTTCACGTCCATCAATCAAACGATGGTCATAAGTTAAAGCAACGTACATCATTGGACGAACTGTCACCTATTAAAAGACAGATTATATTAAAAATATTTTCGAGAATAAAAATTAATTATATAATAGTTACTTAAATACCTGGCCATTTACTGCAATAGGGCGTTCTTTGGTAACATGCATCCCTAATATCGCACTTTGTGGCATGTTGATAATAGGAGTACCGAATAATGAACCATATACTCCACCATTTGAAATAGTGAAAGTACCTCCAGCCATATCTTCAATTGTAATTTTTCCATCTCGGGCCTGAAATTTAGAAATATCGATTGAATCAAAATTCTTACTGAATTTATACTTGAAAAATATGAAAATTTTATTACCTTTTTACCTAAATCAGCGATTGCCTTTTCGACCTCAATAAAAGATAACAAGTGAGCATTTCGAACAACAGGGGTAACAAGACCCTTTGGTGTAGCAACCGCAACACTCATATCAACGTAATCTCTATAAACTATGGTATCTCCACCATCTGGACCTTCAATAGAAGCATTGACTACCGGAATTTCTTGAAGTGCAAATACAGATGCCTTAACAAATGCAGACATAAAACCTAGTTTGATGCCATGTTTTTGTAGGATTAGTTCCTTATATGTGTTACGCAGGTCCATAATATTACTAAATTAATATTTAATATATGTAGGTTTGAAATGTTTGAATATCTTATTATTATTATTCATATCATTAACAAAAAAATTTTGGTTAAACCTCATGTCAATTTCATTGAAGGTTGTCAAAGAAGCGGCCGAATTTTGTGATTCTTTCAGTCTTTCGGCGATACGTAAACGCATTCTATTCATCTTTACCTATTAATAATGATGATTATAAAGGGAGAATTTAATAATTATATTATGCAATTTTCACATTTTTTCGAATAATGCATATATATATACATGACGTTCTTCGCGCTCACGATCACCATATAGAGAATCTTCTGATTTTGATGGGCGTGAAGGTGTAGTACCTTCGGACTTTGATGATGGCGAAGTTGTAGTTGGTTTGGAGTCTATTAAATAAAATGCGAAAGGGATTATTATTTATTATTTGGGAAAAGGAAAATTATTAGATTCATTACCGGGTTTTGATGATGTCGTTTCCTTTTTTGATTCCTGTTTTGGCTCTTCCTTTTTAGATTCTTCCATTTTCTCTTTGGGCTCTTCCTTTTTCGTTTCTTCCTTTGTAGTTTCAAGCTCCTCTGCTTTCATTATTTAACCAAGGTTACGTGACGAAATAATATGAGTTGTACACGAAATCACAAACATACCTTTTGCCGGAGCCTCACCCAATTCAATTTTGTAAAGATCTTGATCTACACCCACAGATTCCTCTTCGTTTGCATATAATTCGAGTATTGTACCAGAATATGGGGAATTAACAGGAGCATCGATCTGCATGATAAAGAACATGATTATGAAGTAAAATTGAATATTGATATAAAAAGAAAAAAAAAGAAATTATTTCAGAATGAATGGATTATACCTTATCGGTTTCGATTGTTGCAACTTCCTCATCTTGCTGAACGAAATCGCCGACCTCTATTCGATGTAAGGAAAGTAGAAATATGATATAAAGACAAGAAAATAATTTAAACAATTTATATATTTTACAAAAATTATAAGAAATGACATTACTTTTATTCCATTTCGCAAGAGTGCCTTCTTTGATTGATTCGGCCAAAGCAGGAACTTTAACTACCTTGCTGACTATTATTTTCAAATTTATAATTAATTATGTAGAGGCAAATCTTTCGCGTCCAAAATAAAAGAAACACATTATCGAATTATATTACAAATTTGTCAATGAGACGTTGAAAATGCTGCTGTATCAAAACCTTTCTCTTTATAATTATCACTTATTTTTGTGCATAATCACGTGTTCTTGTCTATTTTATCAACCTAATGATTATGCGAGAATATACGATTTACTATATCTATGAATGTTGAGAAATGCAATAGAAAGGGGGAAACAGCTGGAAAAAATAAAAAATGGGTTAATGCTAAATCTGAACATATTTAGACCTAATTAATCAGATTTGCCATATAGAAGTAAAATTGATTTTTCCGCCCGCTCAAAAATCGAGTCGATCTCTAGGTAAATTATCTACTTGTTTCCGGATCTTGCCTATTTCTAGTTTTTATCCGGATCTTAATTAGTAGACATAATCAATCCAATCCTAACCTTCAGATTGGACCGAAATCGGTCATATGATCGGATCGCCGTCTTCCATCCCTAATATTAACCCAAAAATGGTAACCTTAAAATTTAAATTTGTTATCTGATTTTGAATCTTTTTTTCGCGATCTTTAGAAAAGAAAATTGATATAGGATTTCGAATGGAACAACAGATCATCAGTAAATCATTCAACAAAAATAATTAGTAATGATACTTAAATTGTCTAAATTTGCTAGATATTGAGGTATCACAACCATACAACATACATCAATTCATTTTCATATAATATCAGCAAATTTGATTTTTTTTTATCTTCTAAACTTTTAATTTAACGCGTCAAGGCAGCAAGACTTAAAAATGCATCTGGCTGTTATATGGAAAGCTGTGTCCAATCGCTCTTCTATGTGTTCTTTGCGTTATAATACCAAGTTGGTGTCAAAAATAACTCCTGCTGTCCAAAAAACCGTTTTTAATGCAGCAGCGAAATCTCCACCCTATTATTATGGGGACTTATACAAATGAATCAAACATCATAAGGTTGGCCTCTTTTATAAATCAACTTAAAAATATATATCAACAACTCCCTATTCCAGTTACCAAATAATTGACATAAAAATTATAAAATTGGAATTTTGAAACCAAATTTTACAATTATGTTATTTGTGGTTGGAGGAAATGTTGTTGATTTAAATGTTT